TGGCAGGGTGGTTGTTGATCGAGAAAGTGCTGGTAGCGATACTGGGCGCATGTCAAGAGTTACGCCTCATAATTTGTTTGTTTGGGAGAAGAAATAGATCTTGCCCTCTGCAGATGTTTTCCTGCTGGTTTGAAACCTGCAGTCAATTCTCAGTCCCCTGAAGTACATTCACTTCTCTCTCATGCGTGTGTATTTTTTTACGGTTTGCAAAATCCAGCAATTCTGTTATTAGAGTATGGTGTTGTTTTTTTTTTTTTACTTTGTTGTACAGCTTGGAGGCTTTCTTGTTTCTCCCTGCACAGGAAGAATTTCATAAATATGTCACTGGAGCTCCAAAAAAAAAAAGCCCCGAAACCTTTTCAAAGTACTGCTGCTCAAAATGTTTCAGTTTGTATCCAGTTTTAAGCATGGGATTTGATTATCCTTTTAGTAGAAGGGACAGAAATAATAATAATAATAAAAAAAAAAAAGTTAGGGATTGCTGCAGTGATCTTCTATTTCTGAGGAAAATCAGTAAAAGTGAAAGTGGAATCAATACCAATCCAGTTAATTCTGCACTGAAGAAGGATGACAGATTCTTTTTTATACTTAAAAAACCGTATCCTGCGCTTGTGCATTTGGGCTGGAAACTTCAAAGGGGTCTAGGGGAGCTAAGTACCTGACTTGCTGTCTCAGTGAGACTTTTTCTTGATTCATTTGGTTGTTTTTAAAAAATCTCAGTCTTACAACAGTCATGTGTTTAGTTTTTTTTTAAAGTTTCGTGAAAAATATTGTATTAAATTAGTATCTGCAAAGGTTGTGTGAGAATTTTAAGGACTTGATATGGCTTCAGACTCAAGTGGTACTCAGGTACAAAAGGAGTTTTTCTTGGATGGTAAATGTCAGTCGGGTTTACTGCAGCTGTGTGGCGATCCTGTGACACGGGCGTCTTTGTATCAAAGTTCCACAGCAGAAATATTTTACTGATGTGCAGCAACCGTTGCCACTTCGGTCTGGGACATTTCGGAAGGTCGAGCTATTGCTGGTGGGAGTCAGAATTTTCCAGGTTTCTGTGAATGGAATGAGATGCATCTGTGACACAGATAATTGGGTGGTGCAAAGACGGTGACTGACAGCTCTAGACAATTGCCCCTATGAACGTGACCTTTTCGTGAGCAGCAGAACAGCCAAAATCTGCACAAGCAGGTTTCCAACAGAGTGGGAGTAAAATCCTTCTGAATAAAACATGAGGAAGGAGATATCCCAAGGTGTAAGGAGCTGCGTGGGGACAGCGGCTCCAAGGCCCGTTTACGCTGTCACTCACCTCGCAGAGCTGCTGCACAGGGAGCATTCCTGTCACACGCCTTTCTGCCACACACCGCCCGCTGCCTGCCCCCAGCACCCACACTGGTCTCATCACAGGCATCCACCGCTTAATCCAGGGTGGAAAGTCATTTTGGGGGCAGGGAGCTGACATTGTCTCGCCCCAGGGTACGGCGAGCCCAGCGGGAAGGCGTGCGCCGGCGTATGGATTAGCGCGCGCCTGTCGATAGCTGGTTTAACTTTGTTCCCGTGATTTTACATCCATTCGGCAGGCCGCTGTGTGGCTTTTCACAGGGTTGTTTTTTTTTTTTTTGCTGTTTCCTTGCGCTCATAGGAAAAGTATCCAGCCTGCTGTATTTAGTCACAGAACAAGTTGGTACCAGTTTTAGCTATTAGAGTGATCACTGTTAGAATTCAGAGCGTGAATTCAGAAAAGCAGTTCACTATGAAAACAGGTTATATGCAATGTTTTCACTCATTCAGTAATAAAACGTCCTATGTTAGTTGAGCTAATAGATTTTTGGCATTTGGTTATGTGACCTCTAGAAGTGAGGAATCTTCATAAGTGCCTTTTCTTTTGGCTTTTTTTATTTTATATAACATGTGCTACCAGTTCCCTTACAGAACGAGTCATTGTCAGCTGGATTCTGAGGCTGGCAGTTGTGACAACATGCCCGTGGAATACTGCTGACATGCATGTCCCTTAGAGAGTGGTTTTGTTCCAGCTCTGACAATAAAAACTGGTATCAGAGTTGCAGTGAAAGGCAAATATTCATCGTGCTAGGAGAACAGAAGGAGAGGGCAAGAGATGCATATTAACAAGTGGACTTGATAAAACAAGCCTGACAAAGGACTGGGAAAGGAACAACTGCTTGTTTGGTTGGCAAGAATGTAAAACAGCCCTCAGCAAGGGAGGCAGTAAGTCACTAGTGATAGAGGCCACTGGTCATGAACATGCCTTTCCTCAGGCCCACGCTTCAGGATGTCCGAACACAGACCTGAGTGCTTCCCTGGGCAGGATTGTTGTTGTTAAATCATCCTGTTTTGTTTATTTCAGAATGGTTAGGAAGTTGTAACAAGTGACAAAGGCTGGTGTACGTGTGACATTTTGTACATAATTCACTTATCTTTTTGTTTTTCTTCTTTTCTGCTTGCCCTTTCCTCCCTTTAGATCTAACTTCTAGCACAAGTACAACAAAAAGCATGGAAGAGGAGAAGAAGGAGGAGAAACCAGAAGAGAAACTTGCAGAACCTGAATCAGCTTTCCCAGAAGCCTTACTGAAATATCAGTAGGTTTAATATACTCAACTTTTCACTCCTATAGAACGTGTGACTGGATAAAGCAGATAACAGAGACCACTTATCCAGTTCAGAGCCTGAGCTGATTGACTGTGGCAGTTGTGTACTGTTCTTTTGTGTTCTTGCCATCGGTTTCCAAGGCTATTTCAGAAATAAACGCTTTTTAAACTATACCTATGAGAAAGCATTTAAGTGAGTCAGAAAAAATTTTATGCCGGTAGGTTATAACTTGGGAAAAAGTTTTATTAAAACTAAAAAACCCCACATTTTTGTCTGTTAGTAGCAAGCTTTTGATCAGCATCCTCTGAAGTTGGAAGAGCACATTTGACTGTCTTTTTTAGGAATCCTTGGCATTCAGAGGTGTGTAGTTACCAGCCAGAACCTCAAGACCTACAGTTTGCTCCCTTGGCGCAGCTGAGAGCAGAGCATAAAGGGAAGTGCTTTGTTTTGAAAATAATGGAGGGGTAACTTAAAGATCTCTTAAAATCAAGCAGAGAAAAATAAGAGCCAAGATGGGAACATCTGAAGTAGTTACAAAATAGTCCAATTTATTTGACCTCCAATCTCTTGAGTAGATGATTGAAAGGAGGAAAATTTAACTCTGTGACTTCTGTAAAAGACACAAATTGAAAGGGAAAAACCTCAACAGCATCCAATGTTCAACAATTATCAGCGTTTAGGGAGCAAGAAGTAGTGCCTTGGTGTGGAAATGAAAAGCAGGGTAAGCGAACTGAAGAGCAACCACATATAGTTCTAGTGACACCTATAGGAGCTTACAGGGTTCAGGTGGGATTTTCTGTTTCGCTTTCCAAAGAAGAGAGTACAAGTTTCATAGCAAACCAGACCAGATTTAGCTGAATCTTCTCTCAAATAAATACCATCCCAAAAGTCAACAAAACAACCCATCTATTTTGCTGAGAAAAAACGGCACCACTCTCTGATAAAATTGTTGTGAAGCATATTCAGATACCCAAGCAAACGACTCCTTTGTCTGAAGAGTCTGGCACTGAACTGGGCGCTGTACTGACACAGGATATTTAGTTTCTGCAGCAACAGTAGAGGGGAAAGGAAGAAAGTTTGTCTTTTATTGTTCTCCTTATCTCCTCTCTTGCCCTTTCTCTCTTCACCTCTGTAATGTGTGACTTCTCTGTACCACTTGATTGAGCCAAGCAGCACAATCATAGAACCATGGAATCATTAGGTTGGAAGAGACCTCTGAGATCATCAAGTCCAACCGTTGACCATGCCCACTAAACCATGTCCTGAAGTGCCACATCTAGATGGTTTTTTAACACCTCCAGGGATGGTGACTCCACCACTTCCCTGAGCAGCCTGTTCCAGTGCTTGACTGCTCTTTCTGTGAAGAAATTTTTCCTAATCTAAACCTCCCCTGGCGCAACTTGAGGCCATTTCCTCTCATCCTGTCACTTGTTACTTGGGAGAAGAGGCTGACCCCCACCTCACTAAAACCTCCTTTCAGGCAGTCGCAGAGAGCGATAAGGTCTCCCCTCAGCCTCCTCTTCTCCAGACTAAACACCCCCAGTTCCCTCAGCCGCTCCTCATCAGACCTGTTCCCCAGACCCTTCACCAGCTTCGTTGCCCTTCTGTCATACAAGTGAGTGTCATCTGTCACATCCGCTTTGGGATTTATCAGTTGTGTAGTATTTATTGAACTTCATTACTGCTTTTTCTCCTGTACTTTGAAGGATGGTTGCTGTTCATACAAAGTTGGTTATTTTGCATTTTCAGTACAGCTTTCTGTTTCAGGATTGGTTAGGAACAACAACCCTGTGAATTACTTGCCCTAGTAACATCCTAGAGATGACTGACAAGATGCCAGCATGGTACAAGAGAGAAGTGTTGTTTCTAGGTGATTAAAGCATCTATATGAAACCTAGTATACAGAGTAGAGAAAAATAGTATCAAAGGAATCGTCAGTCTCGCTGTTTTCTAGCTTTAATGTGTCAAATACCATAGAAAAATAAAGAGCAAAGTTGCAGTATGTAGCAGACAAAATAGCAAATTCTATTCACATGAATTCTTGCCATTAACGAAGTGATGTGCATAGACTGCCACTTCATGCAAAATTTTAAAGTAGCAGAAATTAACATCAGCAGCAGTATTCAAATTATAGTTTAAAATGGCAGGTAATTTAGGAGGTCACACTGTGTGGCCAAGCTGTCACCTCTGTCTAATAAGTGACACATATTTGCTGGAGCCGTCACCACCATACCCCCATATCTCTGTTCTAGCCTTACTAATATCCTTGTGCTTAATGGAAAACCTGAAGAATATCTTGGAGCACGCTGACTCCAGAGGGTGCAAATCTAGTAACCTGCAATTTCTGTAACTGAGTGATCCAGACTTAGCCAGGAAAAAATGGTCTTTTAAAACAACTTAATACAATAGGAGGGGGGGCAAAAAAAACACCAAAACAAAACCGCAAGGAACAGTAGCTGTTGAAACACAAAACGATCCTGTGATAATTGTAATACTTGCCTCTGTTGTGCCGTATGGTGAAGGAATTACGGGAACACAGGGGAAGATTACAGAGAATTTTGCAAATAGGCACCATTTGCCATCCAGCATTTCTCGTTCTAGAAGACAGAACACCTGAAAAAAACCACTTGTTTCACAGCTGTGGCGAAGAGGATGACAAGGAGCCTATGAAAATTGTGAAAGCAGTGAGCTAGTTCTTTGATAAAAGTGTACAAACATACCCAGAGCTCGGGCCAGTCCCTGTTCCCTTAGCGCTTCTTAAAGGCTAACAAGTTCTTGGTGCACAAGTGCAGTTTATGAAGCTCAACAATTGACGTTTTTCAGAAGAATCGATCCCATTTAATTCTCCAGTTTGGGATTCATCTGACCTATGTCCCAGTGAGCTGCCCAGGCTTCCTCTATAGTGAGTGGTGAGTAATAAGTATTTTTGAGGCACAAATAATTTTGTCCTAAAAGAGACCGGTGCGATAGGGCAGCTAAACCACACCCAGGAAGAATAAACCACCTTAATCCTCCGCAGCGGTTACAAAGGAATTGTGTCCTCAGGGAGCCTGTGTCTCAGGAGGAGTCTGAGATCCAAACTGACTCAGAGGCCCAGATGTAGGTGGGAAGTCTTTTGTTTACGTGCAGCAAGCAGACAGGTGTAACCACCCAACTGAGTCAAGCAACATGATACGAAAATAAGCATTTCAGCAGTGTTTACCTCTAATCTAGCTTAAACAACATTCCCCTCTCTTCTGCCTTTGTAAGAATGTCTCTTTACTGTTTCTTCACAGAATTGAGACAAAAGAAGCAGCAATTGATCGGGTTTTGTTTGCTCTGAAACAAGTGCAAAAAAAGAATAAAGAATATCATGAAAGGGTAAGTGACCGGGCATCCTTCTCCCAACACATCTTATATGTTGTATTTTAACACACAGATTCAATTTCATTCTTTTAATCCTAATATTACATTTCACTGAAACTAGTAATTACAGTGAATTTCTTACAGTCAATGAAACTGGAGTTAGTGAGTCACTTTAAGTGCTAAAAGGTAAAGTGTTACCTGAATTAAATGTGACATAAAGCATAACCACGCCAAAAAAAAAAAGCAGCTGCAGGAGCAGAATGTTGCGGAACAGGATGGAGCAGTAAGGTAAAGTGAGTTCAGTGAAGGTGTTTTACCAGTGCTCATGAGATCCTCAGTAACCACCGAAGTATTGAATCTCACTCTGCAGCAAAGCCCCTTTCAGTAGGTAACTTCACTGCAGTACGTTCAGATGTGCCTTTTGAAACACTCCTGCAAATATTCCTCGGTATTTCAGTGCACAAACTGTATGAACTTCATTTTGTCAGTCGTATGAGCAGATCTAACCACGGGCTGAGATTTGCTGACCTTTGATTCACTTCTGAGGTAACGGAATTGCACAGGTTTCTGTGAGGGTTTAGTTATTCTTGCAAACGTAGTTACAGTGAAGACTGGGCAAAAAAGCAGGAGCATCACAGAACTGACTAGGTGCGATTTTTGGCACTTCTTGATGAAGACTCACTTTCTTATGGATTAGGAGTGCTGTTGGGTGGTTTTTAGAACAAGGTTATCTAACTACTGATCGCACGGGAGTGACACTTCAAAGAACCATATCTATGAACTGTAAATGAAGAACCCTAACATGGCATCTGATGGCTGAGAGCGGTGAACCTTGAAGGTGGGTACACATACAGGCGCCTAACGAAACAAATTCAAATCACTTGAAAATCCTTAAACTGGATCACGCGGTTAAACAACGCTGCAGCCTGCAGTTCCTGCAGCAGTGAAACACTGAAACACACAAGGTCTCTCTGCCCTTCCCATGCCCGAGACGTGCCCTGCTTAGAAGTATCCGTTCAGCTTTCCTTGGTGTCCCTTTCAGTCGTGAAGCCCGGATGGTGTTTCATTTGTGGCCTGAACTACCAGTGGAAGTGGCGTTTGGCTCTTCTCTCTGCAGACATCTGAAGTCTCTTACGGTTATTCCCCCAGTTTGCTGCTAGTTCATGGGCTCTCACGGAGAGATTTTACGCTGTGCAAGGTACTTCAGGGCATGCTTGAAGTGCTATTTGTGTAATTTACCCATGTTTTGACAGTTCTTTGAGCTCCGTTCTTTGTTTCCCGTTTAATGTCTCTGATTGGTTCAGAGTTAATCCTTCTAGGAGTGAGGAATGCTTGAGACTCTCTCTACTGCGTAGTTCCTGTGACTGTTTGGCTGGTATGGTTACTTGCCCCTTCTGGTCTCCTTGGGGAGCAAACATACACAATCAGTAATTCCAAATAATCTGAGTGTCATTTGAGGGGGTGATGCCAAGGGGCTGTAATCACAGCTGGGGAATCAGGAGGCGTAACTAATTCCAGCTCTGACAAAACTCTCTACTGTGGTTATATGCAAATGACCCGATTGTCTGAGGACATATCTGCATGAAGGTGGTACGTTCTTACGAAGAATGTTGACATGAAGTCAAGAACTCCTACAAATAAATATTGTTATTGAATTGACCTACAGGGAACTTTCTTTCCAGGCGATGGAGGGCTACTGGTGTGCTGCACCAAGCACAGCCGCTGTTTGTCTCTCATTTCCTTGTCATGGTCTTGAAATTACTGAGAAACTTCTGAGCCTTGCGCACTCTCCCTTCTGCTCCATCCCTTTCGAATACGAAGAGTAGGTGTTTAGCTGAGTGGTTTTGCAGGGCATCCTGGCACTAGGTCGGGTTTTACTGCATTACTTAAGTTTGTCGCTTTGAAAACTAGTTTGAAAATGGTTCAATATGTGCTTTTTCTTCTGTTGTTGTTTCATAGAACCACCGCCTGAAGGAAGAACAACAGGCACACGTCAGGCACATACTAAAACAAATAGAAGAAGAGGAGAAAGAACAAGATGAAAAGGAGGTTGTAACTAGGGATGATGTGGAAGAGGCACTGAAAGCGAAATGGCAGTATGTTGCGGACAAAGAACAGCTTCTGAAAGGTACGTTGGGAGTTGTGGAAGTGTGGTTTGCGGTTTACACAGTTGGAATTGAGTACTTTTTTTTTGGTTTTTTTTTTCATTTTAAATAGAGATTCAACTTCCTTGTGGCATGAAGAGCATAAAGCTGTTCCTCCCCTAAATCAAGCTCTCTCAACGTGGTATGAGATTGTGGAGGGCTTATAAGTAAATCTGTTCCTTCCAAGTGATGTATATTACTGTGCAAGTATGGAGGCTTCATTTTTCCTATAAAGTTGAAACTCATGAAAGCCCTATGCACTGGCTGTACTGGAATATTAAAAAAAAAAAATGGATGGCAGCAAAAATGACAGTTTTGATTGTTGAAAGTTCTGGCTGCCATCCCTGGGATTCTCTGTGGGAGAGACATGTGTCTTTGGTTACAACATTTCAGTGACAACTGTTGTCTCTCCTTGGCAGTGTCAGATCAAGCTGTTTTCAGCAACGATGGTGGCCCTTGACACTATGTGAGGCCATCATGTTGTCATGCATTGTAGTGTAGAAAAATCACCTTTCTTTCTTCAATCCCAGTGAAAGTGCCTTTATTAAAGAATTTGATGAAGTGAGAATTGTGAACTATCAGTTCTAGAAATTGGTAATGAACTTGTCTTCTGATGTTCTTGTTTTAATAGATCTGCACTCCCAAATTGAAGAAACTCACCAAAGACTTTCAGTAAAGCAGAGTGAGAGAGATTATTTGTTGGAATACAAAAATATAGTAAGTAAATCACAGGCCAACAAGATTACGAGTCTGGAAAAAGACATTAAGGAAGTCAAAGATGACCTTCAGAGAACTGCAGGTCAGTTTACAGCTAGTGTAGTGCAAGTCTTGCAGGCTCTTTGTGTATTACTTGCAGGAATCAATTAAATTATAAATTTAATTTGAGGCCAAGTTCTATTAATTTCTGTCAACTTTTCCAGACAGCACACCTAAGGTGAGCTGCATCATCCTGTAAAGTGGAAGAGCTCCCTCTCTCTGTGCAAGTCCCTTTATTAAAGAAATGGATAAAGTCACAAAAATTATGAACACTTAAAGACACTGATAAGCTCGTCTTCTGACGATTTTCTTGTAAAATACAGGCAACCCATTTTTAAAAAAAAGTTCCTGTGAAGGACAGCAGTTTTCTAAAAATAAGTCTACATATATTTAGTTCACCTACACACAGGACTCCCTTAGCAGCCGTACCTGAAAGCGTCGATTCTGCTGCTCCTCATCGTGCTACAAGCCCTTCCCATGTTGAAAACGCCTTTGACGGGAAAGCAGCGCGAGCCCATTCGTGGAGCAGTCTTTTCAACGGAACGTACGGGTGCAAATGCAGGACTAGAGGGAGCTGTTCAGCCAGTGGCCAGAACTTTGCCTCCTAGTTCCACGGCCTCGTGTATGAGGCCCTGCAAAATTGCCAGTACAGCCGTGTACAAACACTGGGAACAGCTTCGATTCTGATCCAGCAGTGGAATTAATCTGACAGCTTATGTGTTCTGGTGCTGAGTGCTTTACAAAGATTTCTTTACTACTGCATTATCTTAAAACTATTTAAATATTTTGCTGCTGCATACCCCATGCTTCTAGCGGGAGAAGGACGTCCTGCTTTTCTTCCTTTACGTCCCTCTCAGTATGCATGACCGCAGCCAAGCAGCTGGTAGTAACAGGCAGTGACACTGCTCTAAGGGTCTCTGTATATTCTGTGCCAACCATCACCAGGCGTCAGCTACTGTGGATAAGAGCCAGCTAGCTATCTTTCTGTCTCTTGAAACACGTTTTATCACGATTAAGGTCTGCACTGGGTTTTCTCCATTGCCAGGTAGCTTGTCAGATATCCACCTCTGTATTCAGGAGATGTTGATATTTTTCATGACGTGTTTTCTGTGTTCTTACTCAATTTAAAACTTTGCTGTAAAGCTGCTGAAATAGGAAATGAAAAAGAGAATGGGATTCTCGGTAGAATGCCAGCATGAGCCAGTAGGAACATTCAGTCTGACCTCCTGCATGTCACAGGGTGCAGAGCCAAAAATTTGTGGTCAAACGGAAATGTACTTATGGAAAGCCGGTTACAGAGGTACACATAGCAGTTGCCTAGTTCACATACTGCAAAATGATGTCGCCAGGACTGGCTGTTAGCACACTGTTTTACTCAACTGCCTAAAACCGAACTTACAAAGCAGCTGGGGAGAACAGTCAGGTACTTGAAATTCAGCCTACGAAAAAAAAGAAATCTAATAAGCTTCCAGAGTGATGCGGCAGCAAACTGAGCTTCTTCACTCCTCGAGTGTGTGACGGGCTTGGGGAATAAGCAGAGGTGAAGAGGTGTCTGTCTCTGTAGGTACCACTGAAGGGCTTGACGCTGGCACAGTTCCTGTGGTCTGGAGATGACAGTTTAAACAAAACTGCTGGAGGGGAGAGGAAGGGAAAGAGAGCCATGCACTTGTGTGAGGTGTGGGGAACACGGTGTTGCAGTGAGTTAGGGAAAAAGCCTCCGTAGGAACAGTTGCTCCTTTTCTTCATTCTCCCAGTTCAGCTCCGGTTGTTTAGCTGTCTGAAAGAATGACAAGATGAATTAATTACAGTATGTAAGTAATTCCATTTCATTCTGCCAAGTTTAGATGGTGGATTGATTAAGGCAGGCCAGCTTCCACAGTCTTAAATTAAGAACTAATGAACAACTAATGCACCTTTCATATTTGACTGCCTTTGACTCCACAGTGGGTCCATGACCAGATACTCATTTGCAGCCAGAGCAGCAACAGGCTGTCTGCAACACAAGTCCAGAGCTAGGCTGAATTTCAAGCCTCTGGAACAAGTATGAAATACCTTCCTTCAGAGAAAATTACTACAATCTCATTCATTCCTTCAAAAGGAGAAAATGCCAAGCAGCAGTAGGGATTTATTTAGATTAGCACAAAAACAACTGAAGGGAAGGATGAAATAATTACATAGTAAGTGACTAGAACTTGAAGCCAAACAAATTCAGACACAAGACACATTTCTAAATAATGACCACAAGTAACAACGAAAGCAAATCATTGAGGCAATTGCTACATTCTCCGTTTTGACCTGTTGTCCAATTAGAACCCCCTGGAAGGCTTCGGTAAGTCAGAAGATTTTTTAGGCTCTGTATAATGACTATCTGAAAAAAATGCCATGTGCATCAGATCATCATAGAATCACCGAATGGTTTGGGTTGGAAGGGACCTCGAAGACCATCTAGTTCCAACCCCGCTGCCAGGGGCAGGGACACCTCCCACCAGACCAGGTTGCTCAAGGCTCCATCCAACCTGGCCTTGAGCACTGCCAGGGAGGGGGCAGCCACAGCTGCTCTGGGCAACTTGTGCCAGTGTCTCACCACCCTCACAGTCCTAATGTCTAATCTAAATCTCCCCTCATTCAGTCACCCCTCATCCTATCACTACCCTCCCTGATCAAGAGTCCCTCCCTCCCCTCAAGACCCTTTCAGCACTGGAAGGCCGCTCTAAGGTCTCTCCAGAGCCTTCTCTTCTCCAGGCTGAACAACCCCAACTCTCAGCGTGGCCTCACAGGGGAGGTGCTCTGCGGGGACAGTGGTTCAGGCTAAGCCTGAACCACTGTCCCCGCAATGCTCCAGCCCCCTGATCATCTTTGTGACCCTCCTCTGGACCAGGCAGGTCCATGTCTGTCTTGTGCTAAGGACTCCAGAGCTGGATGCAGCACTGCAGGTGGGGTCTCACCAGAGTAGAGTAGAAGGGGAGAATCACCTCCCTCAACCTGCTGGCCACGCTTCTTGTGATGCAGCCCAGGATGACATTGGCTTTCTGGGCTGCAAGTGCCCATCGCTGGCTCATGTTCAGTTTTTCATCCACCAGCACCCCCAAGCCCTTCTCCTCAGGGCTGCTCTTGATCCATCCATTGCCCAGCCTGTATCTATGCTTGGGGTTGCCTTGACCCAGGTGCAGGACCTTACACTTGGCCTTGTTGAACTTCATGAGGTTTGTGCAGGCCCACCTCTCCAGCCTGTCAAGGTCTCGCTGGATGGCCTCCCTTTCTTCCAGCGTGTAGATTGCACCACCCAGCTTGGTGTCACTGGTAAACTTGCTGAGGGTGCACTCAATCCCATAAAGATGTTAAACAGCATTGGTCCCAGTACCAACCCTTGAGGGGAGCTCTGCCATTGATAGAGACAAAATTTAATATTAAGATATCAATATTTTAGC